ACATGATGAAGAGATGAAGTTTCCAAAACGTGTCACCTTAAAAAGTCAGTTTCCCAAGAATGAAACGCCGACAGCTTTAATCATAGAAATCCTCTGTTACAAAGTGCTACAGCAGCAGAAGCAGCGGCAAAGGACCTCTGCATCAGCAGGAAGTCCACATGGGGCTAAAACAAGTCTCCCACAATGCACCTCTGCCTCTGTATACACTGACCATATGACTGTATGCACTGACCATGTGTCTGTATACACTGACCATGTGTCTGTGAACACTGACCATGTGTCTGTATGCACTGACCATGTGTCTGTGGACTGACCATGTGTCTGTGAACACTGACCATGTGTCTGTATACACTGACCATGTGTCTGTATACACTGACCATGTCTCTGTATGCACTGACCATGTGTCTGTGGACTGACCATGTGTCTGTATGCACTGACCATGTGTCTGTATACACTGAGAGACCATGTGACCGTGGACTGACCATGTGTCCTTGAGTCATGGTTCCCTCCCCGTCTCTGTGCATGTAAACGGCAGTAAACGGTTCTTGTCGCTGCAAACAGGATCCACATGAACATCAAAGTTGAATGAGACCAAATGCTTAAAAACAAACATCTCGTGCTGCTGTGAAACGTTTATTGTTTTATGGAACGCTCTGAAGCGGAAACATCCAACTCCTGCTTTCAGCGCCTTTCATCTTTCAACTCAACGACATTCAATTTATTCTAGTTTATCCCTAAATCACAACAGCAGTTATCTCAGAGGATTTTTCAAAGTTGTCCATTCGCCGACAACAGATCAGAGAATCAAACAGTTTAAACACTGGAAATGCGATGATAGAGTCATTGGTCCAAAGTGCGGCCCGGGAGCCACATGCGGCCAATTCACGTTTTCATTGCGGCCGTCGGACCTTCCCCTATCAACAAACTTCACTAACCAATGAAGGTTTGCAAATTTGTGAGAGCTACAATGTAACGTCATATCTCATAATAATTCATCAAAAACACTCTTCTGTCCACAGTACTAGCCTTCTTTAGCTTTGGTTCAATCCAAGTAAGAATATAAGCCTAAAGACAAAAACATATAATCCATATTTAATCAAATAAAAGCACCTATAAATAAATATATGTGCAGATGCAAAAGATCAGTGAAAAAAACCTTCCACAGAGAAAAAGTATTTATGTTTATCAAATACTCACATTATTGTTACATTTTTAGCAGAACTAGCTTATACTTAAATATGTTGTTTGATATTAAATCAATGGTAACTATATGAAAATGAGTCCCCCACATTGTACCAATATACAGTGCCTTGCGAAAGTATTCGGCCCCCGTGACCGTCAGAGCGCTGCAGCTCGGATGCACACAGCGCCCTCCGTGACACATCTGTCATTCCGTCACACACAGACGCACACATGTGGCTGAAGGACACTGCAGCCACAGCCACAGCCGCTGCTACAGCCGCTGCTACAGGGTGCGCCTCAAGGAACACTGGGAATGACACGTTCTGTTTCAAACATGTAGCAGAATGAATTGCTGTGTTTTATGATTAAAGTAAAAGGTCCAGTGCATAGAATGAGAGTGAGAATTTACCACTAACTCTAAGATTGTGCTTAACTTTTATGGCTGCACCATTGAGAGTTTACTTGTTGGTTCTGTGTCTGTGTGGTTTGGAAACATCACAGATAAAGAAAAGAGAGCTTTAAACAAGGTGCTCCGCTCTGCTAAGAGGACCGTGGGCTGTGAGCTTCCTGTTCTGGAGGTTCTTTATAAATCCAGACTTTTAAACAAAGCTCTTAAAATCATCAATGACTCTTCTGGCCACCCTGGGAAAGCCATGTTCCAGCTTCTTCCCTCTGGCAGAAGATATCGCTCTTTGAGATGCAGGACATCTCGTTACGCTAACAGTTTTTATCCACAGGCTGTTATCAGTGTGAACAGAGCACTTTAATGATTTGCACTTGTTTTGAAACTGTTTTAGTCGATCCATTTCACAGTGACACTTGTTTACTGTTTTATTTGTTTAATTTTTGTCTTTTAATGTTGTTTTATGTCTGTATTTGTCTGTGCACACTGGAGACTTTTTGCTAATGTATTCCAATGTGGTTTTGTTACTGCAAATGGCAAATAAACTGAATCTGAATCAATGGCTCCAGTGTATTTTAGTATCTTAAGTATTTTTAACTTTGGTATTATCAACACTTCTCTGATCAATATTTCTGAGCTCAAATAAACAATACGAACTGAACTGTACGATTAAGTTTTGCTCCTCGTCACTTTGGCTCAGTCACTAACTCTGAATAAACTAATATCACTAATATCTGATCAATTTGGTGCCTTCTGTCCCAAATGTGACTTTGTGGAGTGAAATGACCCCTGACCTTTGACTCCTGATTGGCTCTTCGGTTGCTTGGTCGTGGATAATCCTCATGGAGCCTGTTTGTTCTAATCCTCATGGACAATCCTCATCTCACCCAAAAATAAATATAAAAATATGAATGTAATTGACATTTTTATGAGTCACACCGGTAAAAGAATTCCGCTTCAAAGAGCACATCATTTGCAAACTTGTCGAATTTTTCTCTTTTAACCAAGTCCAACATCTGAGAGCAGAGAACATGCATGGGAATGATGGAACTTTATATTTTTATTGAAATGAGACGTATTCTGCAAAATCATCTTTCTGTCTCTTTTCTCCATCTTCCAACATTGTTCCTTGTAAAGTTTATTTATATAGCGCATTTTACAGACCAAGCTCCCCCAAAGCGCTTTACAATGTTCAGAGTTCAGATATTTTTCCAATCGTTCCACACACGGTGAGGACGGAAGCGAGACGCCGAACACACCGGTCCATCAAAGCCTCCGACCAAACACCACCCATCCACTCACTCATTACATTCATACCTATTGTGCATGTTTTTAGTGGTGAGAGAAACCTACGCAGACACAGGGAGAACGTGCAAACTCCACTCAGAAAGACCCTGCTACGCCCTTCATACTTGCTTCAACGTTTATTTTCTACTAAGGACATGATTTTACATTCGAAAACATGAAATGACAAAGAAAGTAAACGGTTGGTTGCGTTCAGTGTTCTGCGTCTCGCTCTTGAGTGTGCAACGAATTTAAAATCACTTGTAAATGTGCTAAATAATTAAAGATGACACCGACTTACTTTCTCACTTAAACAGCACAGATTCCCATCATGTGTCTGTTTCCTCCAGACCAAATCCACGCAGAGTCAAAACAACAGCCCTCCGAGGGACATGTAGGTCAGTATCCCATGTAGTCCTTGCCTGTTTCCACTGTACAGGCCTGATGCAGGAGGTAGGCCCCGGTCCCAGATGGCAGGGGGCGGGGGGGTGTGGGGGGCAGGAGGGGCCCAGATGCTCGGGGATCGGCCTCTATCCGCGCAGATTAACTCGCGCTGAGATTATTTATAACCCAAACAGAATGCTGCTCCTCCTGCATGTGCATAACAGGCCTATCCCCGGCGGAAGCAACTGTGGCTCATGCTAAGGCTAACGCTAAGACGGCTCTGGGGCCTCGGGTTCACGGCCTGCAGACGGATGAGGCCCCGGCATAATCACAGAAACTACAGAATGCATACATATCATAAGGTTTCAGGGACGGTACAGACAATACAGGCCAACGCTTTAAACTACAATGCACAGAAGTGATCAAATACAAAAGACAAAACCAGGTCTGGGCCGCGCTCGGTACCACAGAGATAAGGCAGCCACACTCACACTGCTGCATGTTTTGCGTGGAGCCGCAGCGCCCGGAGGAAACATGCCAACTCCACACAGAGGGCGCACAATCTTCTCGCTGCGAGGTGTGAGCGCTTTCTCAAAATGTTACTCCACTTTCCACAATAATGACATGCACATTCATCAGCCTTGCTCCCCGTGGTCCAATAGCTCCTGTGTGTTTGTTATTATCACTTTTCCTGTGTTTGTTTCATTCATTGTTTGATCTTTTTCAGTGGATTGATAAGTTTGTAATGTCTTGCTGTTGTGAATCAGGGCAACACAAAAACAATTATCGATTGAAAGCAGCAGATATTCGTTCAAATACACGCCTCCATCTTCTCCCACTTTGCTGTTGCCGGGTTACAAGGTGGAAGACAGAGCAGAGAGAGACCTCCCTCTACTCACACCTCTTCCAGCTCATCTGGGGGAATCTCAAGGCGTTCCCAGACCAGCTGAGAGACTGATAATGCTGTTTCAACTACAGTTGACCTGATGAAATCTCACACAACAAAGAGACAAAGTTAATCTTTTACTTGTTACATTTTCACAAGGAGAATGTCTTGACAGAGGCAAGGCACAGACCCAGCCTCTCTCAGGACCAGTCTGAAGATTCACAGTCTGCAAGCCCCTTTTGGTAGAACAAGACACACCTTTGTATGCAGATGGGAAAGGAAGAAACCAACACAACAAAAGACACTTAGCATATGAGCTCCCCAGACCTCCCGGTGTCTTCCTGAAGCTAAAGTGAATTACAATACAGAGCATTCAGCATATAGCCACATATGATTTACCAAAATGATAACTTAAGTTACATTCCAATATCAGAGACACAGCCCTCCAGTGTCCTTCACAGACACTGAAGTGAACCCCTGAGAAGGAGCTACGGCTCTACTCAAAGCTCCTTCTTTGTGACTGACCTCCCTCTCGTCTTTTTAGTCATTACATTCATTCATTCATTAAATAATCAATGAAAAGGAATAAAGTCAGTGTCTGTGCATAACGAGGAGAGTATACAGGCTCCTCTTATAGAAGCTGCATAATGAGTTTCACACAATGACTAAACCAGGACGTGTTTGAAGTTGTATGTGCAGAGGTTTACTCTCGTTCTAACGAATACTCATGGGTCTGAGCTGGAGAGACTCTGTTCTGTTTGTGAGGCTGGAGCTGCTGCGTACAGAGACGCAGGAGGCAGACCTGTTCAGATCCCAATGCAGGATTCATTACCATGTGTAAATTAGACATTTTCTAATGAGATGTTCAAGTACGAGAAAGTTTTGTAACAGCGCAAACCTTTTACATTGTTTTGGTTACATGAAAATAGGACTGATATCAAACTGAGTACTGAGTCTATTTAATGGTAACTTGCTAGCATTTAGCCTAGCTTTAGCATGTAGCCTAGCTTTAGCCATCTCTTTTGCCACTAACGGAGCCCGTGGGGAGTAGAGCCACAACATCTTCACTTCAATAACATTTACTAAACATTCCTCTTGCTCCGGCTTCAGTTTCTTGATATTTGGATTGAACCAGAACAGATTATTTTACTATCGCATTCTCCGACAAACTACAACCAGTAAATTCAGCACAAACTCTTGACGTCACCGACACCGACCTACAACACCCGCCTCCCCCGCTCTCTGATTGGTCGGAGGGGATTCAACCGAGGAAACTGCAGCCACTAGGATCAGACCCAGACGTACATGTAGGAAATGATCATGGACCAGAGTTTACACATGGTAAGACCAGACGTACATGTAGGAAATGATCATGGACCAGAGTTTACACATGGTAAGACCAGACGTACATGTAGGAGATGATCATGGACCAGAGTTTACACATGGTAAGACCAGACGTACATGTAGGAAATGATCATGGACCAGAGTTTACACATGGTAAGACCAGACGTACATGTAGGAAATGATCATGGACCAGAGTTTACACATGGTAAGACCAGACGAACATGTAGGAAATGATCATGGACCAGAGTTTACACATGGTATGACCAGACGTACATGTAGGAAATGATCATGGACCAGAGTTTACACATGGTAAGACCAGACGTACATGTAGGAAATGATCATGGACCAGAGTTTACACATGGTAAGACCAGACGTACATGTAGGAAATGATCATGGACCAGAGTTTACACATGGTAAGACCAGACGTACATGTAGGAGATGACCATGGACCAGAGTTTACACATGGTAAGACCAGACGTACATGTAGGAAATGACCATGGACCAGAGTTTACACATGGTAAGACCAGACGTACATGTAGGAGATGACCATGGACCAGAGTTTACACATGGTAAGACCAGGCTACTGTTGTGATTTAGGGCTATAGACATTTGTTTTAATATTGAACAGAATTGATGATCTTCTGCTCCTCATAAAAAGAGGTGTAGAACGGATAAACTGTTTGTGGCGTCGTCTTGTGATTTCTGTCGACAATAGTTTTGTTTTGACGCTCAGACTCAGAAATGACAGCTGTGCTAATGTTTGACTGTCCGTTCACTAATCCAACGCTGGGATCCTCTGTAAATATGGAAAATAAGGCCTCGCTAAGTGTCCCCATTCTTTTCAAGTGGCAGTGTTTGAAAATCCACAGTTATCAGAAAACAAAGCCTTCTGTTCAGGACGAGAGGACTAAGTTTAGACCCGTCTCAGTCCTGAGTCAGACCTGGAACTTAGAGAACTTGCTTTGAAATTGACAATGAAGATTTTTTTTTTTTTTTATGAGTAGAATTGTCATGGTTTAGATTCATTTCCTGTTTTATTTTATAATTTGTTAAACCCTGTGTCTTCTTTAATTGTACTTCCTGCTTGACGCCCCGCCCTCATGTGTCTCACCTGTGTCTTGTTAGGCCCAGTCCCAACACTCGCACTTCCACCTGGCGTCCCTCATTTGCGCGTTCTCGATGATGGGTGCGAGTGCATAGGTTGTTCCAATCCTCCAAGGAGGTCTTTGGCCCCGCCCCCTTTTCGCCCCTGATCCACACTTCGCCGTAGCCTGCGTCTAAGAGGACTCTGGCGATAATGCCCTATAATTCTTTGCGGTACACACCAAAACGTCGGGAAAATGCATTAAAGTGTAAGTTTTGAAATGTATCTATGCTGTATGTGTGTAAATAAGTTTTGCTGTTACTTGGAAAGAAGCAAAAATGTCTGATGAAGAATTACGGACATTCTATGCTAACGATTTCATAACTTATTTTAAAGCAAGCATTCATATAACATTCAATTTAAACTTTACACTTAGTACAATAAACTCAGGATGTATAAAAACTGACCAGATCACAGTTAGTTACCCACATTTAACTTAAAATTATACAGCTATCTCAAATTATGAATAACCAATATGTATTTTAACGTGTGTGGAGCAACTCATTTTGTTTCCCACAGGGTCAGACAAAATGACCTTTAATTTTTATAAAGTTTAGGTCTGAAAATGTCCATCTCTTAGCAGTGTGGGTGTTGGGGCGGGGCCTTGGTCTTGTTTTTAAGCCCCAGGTGGCCCTTCACTCCTTGGTCCGTCTTTGTCATTCCACGTCTGTTTTAGTTCTTGTCCTTGTTCCCGGTTTTGTTGTGTCTGTTTGTGGTGTTTTTGCCAGATCTTGATTTATATTTATTTTTATCAAATCCATTACTTTTTGCATTTTGGGTCTCCTTGTTTTTCACCTTCATGACAAGAACTTTAAATATAAATTCCTCCGTAAACAATGAAGCACAGTTAGTGATGGTTGAATAATAATAATCAGTCATTGTCCTGTCAGTCTACAGCTGCAGACTCCAACAGCTGCAGACTCCCACAGCTGCAGACTCCCACAGCTGCAGACTCCAACAGCTGCAGACTCCAACAGCTGCAGACTCCCACAGCTGCAGACTCCCACAGCTGCGGACTCCAACAGCTGCAGACTCCCACAGCTGCGGACTCCAACAGCTGCAGACTCCCACAGCTGCAGACTCCCACAGCTGCAGATTCCAACAGCTGCAGACTCCCACAGCTGCAGAATCCCACAGCTGCAGACTTCAACAGCTGCAGACTCCCACAGCTGCAGACTCCAACAGCTGCAGACTCCAACAGCTGCAGACTCCAACAGCTGCAGACTCCAACAGCTGCAGACTCCCACAGCTGCAGACTCCAACAGCTGCAGACTCCCACAGCTGCAGACCCCAACAGCTGCAAACTCTTACAGCTGCAGACTCCCACAGCTGCAGACTCCAACAGCTGCAGACTCCCACAGCTGCAGACTCCAACAGCTGCAGACTCCCACAGCTGCAGACTCCAACAGCTGCAGACTTCAACAGCTGAAGACTCCAACAGCTGCAGACTCCCACAGCTGCAGAATCCCACAGCTGCAGACTTCAACAGCTGCAGACTCCCACAGCTGCAGACTCCAACAGCTGCAGACTCCCACAGCTGCAGACTCCCACAGCTGCAGACTCCAACAGCTGCAGACTTCAACAGCTGCAGACTCCCATAGCTGCAGAATCCCACAGCTGCAGACTTCAACAGCTGCAGACTCCCACAGCTGCAGACTCCAACAGCTGCAGACTCCAACAGCTGCAGACTCCCACAGCTGCAGACTCCAACAGCTGCAGACTCCCACAGCTGCAGACTCCAACAGCTGCAGACTCTTACAGCTGCAGACCCCAACAGCTGCAAACTCTTACAGCTGCAGACTCCCACAGCTGCAGACTCCAACAGCTGCAGACTCCCACAGCTGCAGACTCCAACAGCTGCAGACTCCCACAGCTGCAGACTCCAACAGCTGCAGACTTCAACAGCTGCAGACTCCCACAGCTGCAGAATCCCACAGCTGCAGACTTCAACAGCTGCAGACTCCCACAGCTGCAGACTCCAACAGCTGCAGACTCCCACAGCTGCAGACTCCAACAGCTGCAGACTCTTACAGCTGCAGACTCCAACAGCTGCAAACTCTTACAGCTGCAGACTCCCACAGCTGCAGACTCCCACAGCTGCAGACTCCAACAGCTGCAGACTCCCACAGCTGCAGCATCCAACAGCTGCAGACTCCCACAGCTGCAAACTCTTACAGCTGCAGACTCCCACAGCTGCAGACTCCAACAGATGCAGACTCCCACAGCTGCAGCATCCAACAGTTGCAGACTCCCACAGCTGCAGCATCCAACAGCTGCAGACTCCATGGATTGTGCTGCATCAAAGTGGCCCAGACTTTTCATCTGGTTTTAACAGATGTGACCCTTATCAATGTGTTTGGAAAATACAATTCATGTTGAAATGTGAAACAAAAAAGTCATATGAAGTATAAGTGTTGTTGAGACATAAATAGAAAATACACAGAAGTATTCAGTAATGATACCAAATGATGACCTGTGATGTCATGTAGCCACAGCTGCCCTGCACTAGGACCAACACAGGTAACAGCAGGCTTCCATTCTGTGCCATCTGCTCCTGACCCAGACCTGATCACGTGACCTGCCACAGTCACAAACTGCCGTCATGTCCTGGAACAGGAGGATTTCCCCGAACTTTTGGAAAGAAGCGCCTCCTGTAGCGGTGGAATTCAAATAACTCTCACAAAAGCTGACAATATAGTTCAGAAAATACGTTTATTACTCAATCAGCAAAACTTGGGAAAACCGGCAACAGCCCGGAGCCTGCGCAAAGACTGGCCTCTCTCGCTCCTGCCTCTTCGGCCAAGACCCCGAAATGGAAGTTTTGGCAGCGGCCAGATAGCAAATATAAACCCGATGTTTCCTAATGGCTGTTACCAAACATATTTTCCCTCATTCCTTCTGATCAACATTTTAGGTTTCATCATGATCCAAACGCCAAGAACATTCCATTACCCTCAAAACTGGGGTCAAACATTCCACAACACTCCTCAGAGGGAATGCGTGTCACCAATGATTGACAACTGGGAGGACCAATAGTCGAGATGATCCACCCGGAAGAAGAAAATCCTCCAATAAACCTTTGATGAAAGAGGCTTCACCACACGGTCATGGTTTGGCTGTTTATGTGCATAAAATGTAAAGCTTAAAAAGGCAGTTTGGGATTATTGTGTTAAAGTTTAAAAGCAAAAGGTTCAGTCCATGTTCAGTCCAGCGTTACAGCAACAATTGTCTTGTTTTGATGCAATATGTGCAATTTTAAAAAGTGTAGATTACTTCTTCAAAAGCAGTGAAGTCAAAGTAAAACCTGAAAATGTCACAGTTCATTCATCGCTAAAGTACAGACTGAGGTGCAGCACTTTCTTATTAACGTCTCTGATCCATATTAACGATTGAGTGGTTGATAAAAGCCAAAGAATGAGATGTAAGCATTAGACAGAAGAGCCGTGACCTGAAGTCTCCATCAGCTCTAAATGTTTCATGGCTCTCTGTGATGCGCGCTCCCGCTCTGCGCGCCCCCGCCGCTCCGTGTCGCCTGCACTGCTCGCCGCTTATCTCCAGCACACAACATCTGCTCTTTGTTGACAGTGAGATGGTCCTGATCTGCTCCTGATCTGCTCCTCTGTGTGCGCGCGCCCTAGCCCAGTGCGCGTCCGCCCCCACCCTGCTGCTGATGCTGAGAGTGCGGCGGGAGTGTGCAGGGCTGGAACTGCACTCTCAGGGCCGCACCCACAGCCATCTCTATTGTTTATCGCTCCTGATCCAAAGTGGACAATTAGGGCGCGAGGCCGAGCGTGAGGCTCCACTTCAGCCAATCAGGGACGAGGAATGGATGGAATGATCAGGGTCTCAAGAGTCCTGATGTCACATGAGGATATCCAGGACGCAGTCAGGAGTGTGAAGAGAAAAGCGGTCAGGACAAGTATATATTTTTCATGAGACACGACACAGGCAAAGCTGGACGTGTTTTGGGGGAAGTGTGTTTCCGTTTCAAATGGAGCAACATCTCATCAGAGAATGCAACTGTCCTCTTCCTCTCCTCCAGTGTCTAGAGCAGACCTGGGCAAAGTGCGGCCCATGGAGCCATGCGGCCGATTCACATTTCTATGCGGCCCTCGGACCTTTGTGCTACAATGGCCAAAAAGCAGCAGCTCGAGTCCAGACTAGAACCAGGAAGTACCATCACATTAGTCCAGTTCTCAGGTCTCTGCACCTGTGGCTCAGAGAATAGACCTCAAATCAGTTCTGATGGTTTCAAGTCTCTCCATGGCCTCGAAACCAAAGTACATCCGAGACATGTTAGAGCCATATGAACCAACTCAGGGACCACCTCCTGCTGGGACTCTGAGGAGCACAGGGACTGGTCTCCTGCTGGGACTCTGAGGAGCACAGGGACTGGTCTCCTGCTGGGACTCTGAGGAGCACAGGGACTGGCCTCCTGCTGGGACTCTGATGAGAACAGGGACTGGCCTCTTGCTGGGACTCTGAGGAGCACAGGTCTCCTGCTGGTCCGAGAGTCAGGACTAAACATGAGGAGACAGTATTTCAAATGTATGTGGCCAGAATCTGGAACAGTCTTCCTGAGATTGTGAGACAGGCCTTGTTTTTGGCAGGTTTTTAGCTAAATAAAATATAAAATTATCCACATGATATTCAGGCTGGTCTTCCACAACAGAGCGATATCTCAATGTCTCCCCCCGAGAACATAGTTGCCCACGTCTGGTCCAGAGTCTAGAGTCTAGACCAGGGGTGTTAAACTGGATCCAGAAAGAGCCAAGTGTCTGCAGGTTTTCAGTTCAACCGAGCAGGAGCACATCCTCTCCACATTTAATCAAATCTTCAGGTTAAAGTTGGGGTACTTAACTTTTAACTAAAACACACACACATATTACAATGTTTTCAAATCATTGGTCGCTCGTTTTCACCTGAATGGATTTTCAGCCTCATCTTTAGTCTCACATTTTAGACATTTGCAAAAGGAATAATATTGAAAAAAAACAGGTTTTATTGTCCTAAAAAGTATGAGAAAGTTATTGTAATATTAATAAGATAAGAGATCCTTTATTAGTCCCACAGTGACTAAATTTCATTGTTGCAGCGCACAGACAGGACAGTAGTGAGAGACACAGGGAGCACACAATATACACAAAATAAGTATCAGCAGTTCTCATTGTACAGTCTGACAGCAGCAGGAAGGAAAGACCTGCGGAACCTCTCCTTCACACAGGGAGGGTGAATAAGTCTGTCACTGAAACTGCTCTCCAGAGAAGACAGAGTGATGTTAGTTTGTCCAGGACCCGCCCACATCATGGCTCTGGCCCGCCCACACCATGGCTCTGCCCCGCCCACATCATAGCTCTGCCCCGCCCACATCATGGCTCTGCCCCGCCCACATCATGGCTCTACTCCGCCCACATCATGGCTCTGCCCCGCCCACATCATGGCTCTACCCTGCCTACATCATAGCTCTGCCCCGCCCACATCATGACTCTGCCCCGCCCACATCATGGCTCTGCCCCGCCCACATCATGGCTCTGCCCCGCCCACATCATGGCTCTGCCCCGCCCACATCATGGCTCTGCCCCGCCCACATCATGGCTCTACTCCGCCCACATCATGGCTCTGCCCCGCTCACATCATGGCTTTATTCTGAGTAAAACAGCACTTCTATGATACAAGATTCATTACAATCATTCAGCAAGAGACTGTTGTGGCCCTGACCGTCCGCATCAGTCCAATATAATGGCGCCGTGGCTGCTGTCTTCTCTGTCTGGTGCACACTGGGGTAGTCTTGCACAGTTTTTCCAATGTGGTTTTACTGGAAATGGCAAATAAATGAATCTGAATCTGAATCTGAATATAAGATCATATGAAATATAATCAAAAAGACAAAGCCACAGCTGCTGCAGATAAAGTGGATCCATCTGTGGCTTTACACTAATCCTTCTTATTCTCTCTGACCGTCCCGACAGGAAAGAGCTGTTAAAGAGGAACCACCGTAAGCTGCGGAAATGACTGCTCTGTGAAGGAGAGACTGACCAGGACCTGAGAGGGACTGACCAGGATCTGAGAGAGACTGACCAGGACCTGAGAGGGACTGACCAGGACCTGAGAGGGACTGACCAGGACCTGAGAGGGACTGACCAGGATCTGAGAGAGACTGACCAGGACCTGAGAGAGACTGACCAGGATCTGAGAGAGACTGACCAGGACCTGAGAGAGACTGACCAGGATCTGAGAGGGACTGACCAGGACCTGAGAGGGACTGACCAGGACCTGAGAGGGACTGACCAGGATCTGAGAGAGACTGACCAGGACCTGAGAGAGACTGACCAGGACCTGAGAGGGACTGACCAGGATCTGAGAGGGACTGACCAGGACCTGAGAGGGACTGACTAGGACCTGAGAGGGACTGACCAGGATCTGAGAGAGACTGACCAGGACCTGAGAGAGACTGACCAGGATCTGAGAGAGACTGACCAGGACCTGAGAGAGACTGACCAGGATCTGAGAGGGACTGACCAGGACCTGAGAGGGACTGACCAGGATCTGAGAGAGACTGACCAGGACCTGAGAGAGACTGACCAGGACCTGAGAGGGACTGACCAGGATCTGAGAGAGACTGACCAGGACCTGAGAGAGACTGACCAGGACCTGAGAGGGACTGACCAGGATCTGAGAGGGACTGACCAGGACCTGAGAGGGACTGACTAGGACCTGAGAGGGACTGACCAGGATCTGAGAGAGACTGACCAGGACCTGAGAGGGACTGACCAGGATCTGAGAGGGACTGACCAGGACCTGAGAGGGACTGACTAGGACCTGAGAGGGACTGACCAGGACCTGAGAGAGACTGACCAGGACCTGAGAGGGACTGACCAGGACCTGAGAGGGACTGACCAGGGCCTGAGAGGGACTGACCAGGACCTGAGAGGGACTGACCAGGATCTGAGAGGGACTGACCAGGACCTGAGAGGGACTGACCAGGATCTGAGAGGGACTGACCAGGACCTGAGAGGGACTGACCAGGATCTGAGAGGGACTGACCAGGACCTGAGAGGGACTGACCAGGATCTGAGAGGGACTGACCAGGACCTGAGAGGGACTGACCAGGACCTGAGAGGCACTTACCAGGATCTGAGAGAGACTGACCAGGACCTGAGAGGGACTGACCAGGACCTGAGAGAGACTGACCAGGACCTGAGAGGGACTGACCAGGACCTGAGAGGGACTGACCAGGGCCTGAGAGGGACTGACCAGGGCCTGAGAGGGACTGACCAGGGCCTGAGAGGGACTGACCAGGACCTGAGAGGGACTGACCAGGACCTGAGAGGGACTGACCAGGACCTGAGAGGGACTGACCAGGACCTGAGAGCTCTGGGAGAGTTGAAAATGAGCATTTATTTTCTTCTTTTGAAAGATAAAGTGAGTCCTGCAGCAGCGGTGGGTGAATGAATGAATGAATGAATGAATGAAGTCGTGAAGTCGACAAAGACCTGGATCACATCAGGTCTGCTCTGGTCTTCAGGGTCCGGGTGTGTTTGTGTGGAGCAAGGATCTCCTGTAGCAGTGTTTCCCAAGCAGAGGTGCGCACCAACATTACATCACAGTCTCTGAGGATATCAACCATATTCTTATTTTATTCTGAACATTTAATCCAGAACCAAAATAAAACACAGTCTCAGGTCAAGTGTGTGGTCATTGTGTTCAGAGACATCTACCAGTTACATTCAAGTAATCTATTACTCTCTGTAATAACAAGAGCTTGAAGGAATGAAGGAATTCATCATTATTTGTCTACGATGAGTCAATGATGAGTCCATGAAGAGTCCATGAAGAGTCCATGATGAGTCCATGATGAGTCCATGATGAGTCCATGATGAGTCCATGTCTGTAGTGTCATGAGTGGACACTAGCGACTGCTGTAGTGACCCCCACGAGAGGCAGACCATAACAACACCTAACAGTGCTCATCATTACATACACCACAGAGGCCTCAAACAGGATGTTCTCAGACTGAAGTGGCCCCTGAGCTTCAACCAGATACAGAGTCCGCAGAGCTATAGGACCGGAAGTGGAGGGGTGAGGCCTATGGAGCTATTATTGTTTCAATAATATTTGTGTGTGCGTAAAAAGATTTGTGCGTGCGTAACCAGATTTGTGTGTGCGTACCCAGATTTGTGTGTGCGTAACCAGATTTGTGCGTGCGTAACCAGATTTGTGTGTGTGTAAAAGAAATATTTGTGCGTGTGTAAATAGATTTGTATGTACGTATCAAGATTTGTGTGTGCGTAAAAAGATTTGTGTGTGCGTAAAAAGATTTGTGTGTGTGTAAAGAAAAAAAAAAGTACGTTTTACACACAAGTTTTTTTTTTACACACGAATCTTTTGACGCAGTCCTGCCTTCGCAGATTCGCAAGTGTAACTTGGACTGTGTGCGTGCGTAAACAGATTTGTGTGTGTGTAATTTGACATTTGTATCTGTAGCAGAACAATCTGTGTGTAAATAACCGCGTTGTACAAAGAGAAGAACGAAAAAAGCCTAAGTGCTACGCACAGGCTCTGTTTTACACACGAATCTCTTTTTGACACACCTCTGCCGCCAAGCGTGTGTCAAAAAGATTTGTAAGTGTAATGTGGTTGTTCTAGCAGTACACCAGCAGATGGTGCTGTTGTAGCTGGTTATTACCTACACGCAAGCAAACCAAAACCTACTGCCTTGACAAGACACACTACCGCAGCTGTTTATGATATTTTTTTCCTATTTTCAAAATCCTGTCATTCACACCACTGTATGATACATGGATCTATTATAATAACTGGATAGGGTGTTACTAGCTTGGAGCTGAAGGATTCTCGTACTGCAGACTAAATTCACGTTGGCTACACAGAAATTTTCCCCATAGAACTCAAAGTAAACTAAAACAGCTGACAGAGAACCTACAGCTTTCATAAAGGTCGGATTTTGTGGGAATTTTAGTGTTCCTTGTCATCCTGAACTTTTCTTCTTCTTAAATCCTTCGGTTTTCTCTATCTACACTTGTTGGTTTGCTTGCGTGTAGGTAATAACCAGCTACAACAGCACCATCTGCTGGTGTACTGCTAGAATAACCACATTACACTTACAAATCTTTTTGACACACGCTTGGCGGCAGAGGTGTGTCAAAAAGAGATTCGTGTGTAAAACAGAGCCTGTGCGTAGCACTTAGGCTTTTTCCCGTTCTTCTCTTTGTACAACGTGGTTATTTACACACAGATTGTTCTGTTACAGATACAAATGTCAAATTACACACACACAAATCTGTTTACGCACGCACACAGTCCAAGTTACACTTGCGAATCTGCGAAGGCAGGACTGCGTCAAAAGATTCGTGTGTAAAAAAAAAACTTGTGTGTAAAACGTACTTTTTTTTTTCTTTACACACACACAAATCTTTCTACGCACACACAAATCTTTTTACGTACACACAAATCTTTTTACGCACACACAAATCTTGATACGTACATACAAATCTATTTACACACGCACAAATATTTCTTTTACACACACACAAATCTGGTTACGCACGCACAAATCTGGTTACGCACACACAAATCTGGGTACGCACACACAAATCTGGTTACGCACGCACAAATCTTTTTACGCACACACAAATATTATTGAAACAATAATAGCTCCATAGAGGCCCCTGTATGAGGGTCCTGTGTGAGGCCCCTGTATGAGGGCCCTGTGTGATATCAGATCATTCGAACTGTTTACATCTGTGGTCTGTGTTTGACAACCTGCAAGTACCTGACCACACCACCAGGTGGTGTCATGGGCCAGGGGGTGTCTACACTGGGGCCCCGGGGCCTCTGATGGAGCTGGGACAGTGGTGGACACACTTTGAGAATAACATCATGAATCCAGTCCACTCCAGTTTACCTCAAACAGAGTGGTCCCAACAAAAGCCAGAACCAGAGAGTTCGAGGCCCCTGACCCTCGACCCTAGAACCTGTGTTTGAGACGGGAGGTCATCAGGGCATTTTTCCACTAAAAACCAGTTTCCCACCTGTAACGTTGAGATAATGTATGAATATCATTTTGCAGAACTGTTTTGAAATCTCAGTTTTCATCTAAAACAATGCATTCAGACCAAGTGGACGGACAGACCTCATTGGTTCATGTTGGAAGCATTTAAACAGAGAAAGCCAATCACAAACACAACCAGGATTCAGAACACACACTGCTCTGAGCTCTGCCCCTACTCAACTCCACAATGTCTGCAATGGCTGCTGAACCGTCCATCACAGAATCAGAAAAGAACATTGACAAACAAATAAAAACAGTGTGTGTCAGAGAAGGCAGCAGGAGAGATGTCGTCTTGGGTGGAAGCGAATACATGAATATAAATGACTCTAAAAACAGCAGAGTGTGAATGACCAGGGATCCTCCACACATGTCCCCTTTAAATTAAGCACACACACACAAGAGTAAGAGATGTAGGCCTATCAGAGGGAGCGGTTGTTTTCTCCACTGGGCCAAGGTGACAGCGATGATGACGGAGATCTGAAGTGAATCTTCTTCAGGGCTTGAAATGAGAGACCATCTACCAGCTGGGGCCTTAAATACAGTCTCATTTTATTGGACGGCCACAATTTGCATGTCATATTTCTGCGTCCTATTGGGTCGATAACACGCAATACCATCTATATAGCAGCAGCTTTTGCCCACATCACTTTCTATACAAAAGGCTCTTCCAGTGAGTTTGAATATTGCCAGTAGGTGCGTGTGAGCGCGGCCTTGAGACGGCAGCTCCACACGTGATGAATCACCTGGCACCTCACTGCTGCTGCATCACACGGCAGCTGTACAAACATTCACACGCAGAGACCGAGTCCAAACACCGACCGTGCACTTCATTTAGTCTGTGTGCGCACGTAAAGACGTGTCCCCCTGTACGTGTGTGTGCGTGCATGTGTGTGTGTGTGTGTGTGTGTGTGTGTGTCATCACTCAAGTAAACAGCCCGGACAGAGGAAGAGGATGGGTGCACAAGGGACACTGTGTGCTCCTCCAAAAAAGCCGGCCTACCCCTCCACGAACTGGGCCCTGGTTGGGAGTGACAGCAGTGGGATGATGGAGGAGCGTGCGTGTGCGTGTGTGTATGAGTGTGTGTTTGTGTGCGAGAGTAAATCATGGAGCTCCCAACGCGTGCCAAAATAACTAAATAATGAATGTGACTTGTCCCTGTCCATCTGCTTCCATCCAAATGAGGAAAACGTGATCTGCAGGAACCTCTCACGCACACATTCCACCGCGCAGCCTCCTACCTTCATGGATGTGCTGCCTGTCCACCTTCTCACTGCGCCGTGCCCAAGCGAGCTCCCAGTGTCCATGTCATCCCGGGCTCGGCTGTGGGAGAGGCGGGCCGGTGAGAGGGGGTCCGCGGGGGGGGATCAGAGAGGCAGCGTTCCGGGAAGTGGGTTTGAGAAGCTGCAGGGAGAGGAGAGCGTACACGGACACGCACACACACAGGCGGAGAGAGGGTCCGGGCGGTGTCCCACGGTCCACAGAGAGTCACGGCAGCTGGATCTCTGATAATCCACTCACCGGGAGCATTGTGCTTTTGTGAAGCTGCACAGTCCTGGAAGAGCCCGAGCTGCGGCGAGCTCAGTGCGTCAGGAACAAGGGACGGACTATTTTTAGAGGAAAAGATGGATGCGTGAAACCTGATTCACAGCAGCAGCGTCCTCCACCTGAGCGTCCTGCGCACTCAGGCTGTGCCCGGGCAGCAGCCTCTTCTCTGGGCACGGCAGGTCTCTGACACGCCCTTCACCGGAGCAGCACCGGGACCACAGGGACACGCACGCACGCAGGAGGCAGACTGGACTGTCTCTGGTCACGGGCACGCGCGGCGCGGCTCCATCACACGAAGAGCCTTTGATAAAGAGATAGAAAAGTGAGAAGCACAGCTCACTGCAGCTGTGCGCGAACAGACGTGCGCAGAATGTGCAATGTTCTGATGCAGCATCAGAGGAAGGCGCTTTGCATAAAGTGCATCTGTCCCAGATCAGCCCACGCTTAAAGCTGCACTCTGTAACTTTCCTTCCGTCCACAGTCTGCGTGTTGCCATGGAAACGCTATGGCTTTAGTGGAATGTATTAAACATGTTTCATTACAATATACTTTTACTGCTCCAAGCCCTGATCTCTGTGTCTGTCCCCAGTGGATACAAATGTAATGTGTTAAAGTGATAAAGTCAGTCCCTGATGCAGTGTCGTCCTCCAAGTGTTTGATACAAATGAAACACAATAAAGAAGACTCCAACTGCAGACAACAGTCCCGGGGCCTCAGACTCTTTCATCTGAATCTGTCTTTTGCTCAGGCTCCAGCTTTTTATGACGACAGTAAACATCTGTGTGTCTGTGGCTCTGTTCTTTCATGAATGTAACGTGTCCTGGTTTCATCATGAGTTCACAGAAGCATTTGTCTAAGCTGTTAATGTGCGTTTACACTCAACATGAAAACATACAACAATAGGGACAATCATTCATATCTATCATATCTATCTATGTCAGTCACAGTCAGAGTGTGGCACTTATCACCAGAGCAGTTTGCTTTAGTGCAGAGTGTTTGCCGCTGATTATGTCATGTTTCCGTTTTATTAAGAAGAGTAAACTCTGTTATTTGGTAAAACTAAAAGTGTGTGTGTGGACAGACTCTTGACCCCTGGCCCCGGGTTGAGACACCTGCAGGTCAGTCCATCTCACGCTGGACCACTGAGGTGAGTTCTTTTTATTTTGCTGTAATGTGACCCAGTTCATATAAATACAGACAGGATTGGATCTTCCTTCCAGCTCAGAACAGACTCCAGCACCTAAAATCAAACAAATAAAACAACAACAATCAGAATACATTTTTTGGAGCGTTCTTGGCCTTAGACCCTCCTGAACAAGTGGGAGAAAAAGTTGACCCTGGAATGGGTCTGTGGCTGAGTATAAGACTGAGGCTGTAGATCTAAGACTGAGGCTGTAGATCCAGGACTGAGGCTGTAGACCCAGGACTGAGGCTGTAGACCCAGGACTGAAGCTGTGGATCCAGGACTGAGGCTGTAGATCCAGGACTGAGGCTGTAGATCCAGGACTGAGGCTGTAGACCCAGGACTGAGGCTGTAGACCCAGGACTGAGGCTGTAGATCCAGGACTGAGGCTGTAGACCCAGGACTGAGGCTGTAGACCCAGGACTGAGGCTTTGGATCCAGGACTGAGGCTGTAGACCCAGGACTGAGGCTGTAGACCCAGGACTGAGGCTGTAGACCCAGGACTGAGGCTTTGGATCCAGGACTGAGGCTGTAGACCCAGGACTGAGGCTTTGGATCCAGGACTGAGGCTGTAGACCCAGGACTGAGGCTGTAGATCCAGGACACAGTCAACAATACAGTGAAATGTGTTGGGATAAAAAGCACACAAAAACAATTCTACTTGGACTAAAAGGTTAAAAAAGAGTCACTCAAGATCAGTTGCAGTGCTGTTGTTATAAAGTGCTAGCGCCTGAATGAGTATATATCTGTCCTTCAGTCTCTTGGTGTGTGCAGGTAGCTCCCGTAGCACCTGGAGGTTTTTGATGGAGGCTGTTGTCTTTGATGTTGCCTTCTTCAGACAGCACTCTATGAAGTTGCAGATACAGTCTGTGCACCGCCCCCTGGGAGAGGGCCGTCCAGGATACATTAAAGATTAGGAGAATTCATACTGCACTAGTAGTAAGTAAGTAATCTTTATTTATATACCGCCTTTCACAGACCAGAGTCACAAAGCGGTTTACAATTGTTGTTTTTTGGGCATTTGTCTCTCACTCCACACAGAGATGGGAGCGGGGCCAGTACAGGAGGCGCATGCCAGAACTATTAGACATATTTTTAGTGGTAGGGGAAACCGGAGTACCCGGAGGAAACCTACGCAGACACGGGGAGAACATGCAAACTCCACTTAGAAAGGCCCTGGTCCAACCGGGATTCAAACCCAGGACCTTCTTGCTGAGAGGCGAGAGTGCTATCCACTCAGCCACCGTGCCGCCCACTGGTACCTATTTAGTCTGGCAGAAAGAAATGATCAACACATATTATTCATACAATCTGAACTACTGCTGTGAAAAGGAGCGTTTCTGCCTGAGCACATGTGTGAAGGGACTCAGCTGTGCTCCGTGTGAGACCCAGGTCTCTCTGAGGACCACAGCAGACCCAGGACCAAGACCAGGACCTACAGAACAGATGTTTCTCGACACGCAGGGTTCAGGAAGCTACGAGTCGTCAAAGGTCAGAGAGAGACCAGAGAGAGAGAGACCAGAGAGAGACCAGAGAGAGAGAGACCAGAGAGAGACCAGACAGAGATCAGAGAGAGACCAGAGAGAGACCAGAGAGAGACCAGAGAGAGAGACCAGAGAGAGACCAGAGAGAGACCAGAGAGAGAGACCAGAGAGAGACCAGAGAGAGACCAGAGAGAGACCAGACAGAGATCAGAGAGAGACCAGAGAGAGAGAGAGACCAGAGAGAGAGAGACCAGAGAGAGACCAGAGAGAGACCAGAGAGAGACCAGAGAGAGACCAGAGAGAGATCAGAGAGAGACCAGAAAGAGATCAGAGAGAGACCAGAGAGAGACCAGAAAGAGACCAGAGAGAGACCAGAGAGAGAGAGACCAGAGAGAGACCAGAAAGAGGGAGACCAGAGAGACCAGACAGAGACCAGAAAGAGACCAGAGAGAGACCAGACAGAGACCAGAGAGAGACCAGAGAGAGAAAGAAAGAGACCAGAGAGAGAAAGAGAGAGACCAGAGAGAGACCTGAGAGAGACCAGAGAGAGACCTGAGAGAGACCAGACAGAGACCAGAGAGAGACCAGAGAGAGACCAGAAAGAGGGAGACCAGAGAGACCAGACAGAGACCAGAAAGAGACCAGAAAGAGACCAGAGAGAGACCAGACAGAGACCAGACAGAGACCAGAGAGAGACCAGAGAGAGACTGCAGTAGTCCTCTAAACTAATCACTGTGCTGCACACAAGCCACAGTCTTCTGACTATAAATAAAGGTAATTGTCATGTAGCGGTTACGTGATGTTACATGTGAAGACACACATACACACACAAACAGGAAACACACACACACACAGACACGCACACACACACACACACCTACACACATACACACACGCAAACAGGACACACTCTCACTCACACACACATACACACAGACACGCACACACACACATACACACGCACACGACACACAACAGAGAGGCTGCAAATGTGATGTGATAATAAAAGTTTTGTTTATTTATTTAACAAAAATGGTGTTCAAAAAATAAAAATACCTCTTTTTTCATCTTTCATTTCTTGAAACATCTTAATAATTATTTGCAGAAAAGTTTTGGTCTTTTGTGTGAGTATATAATGTAGCTTTGATTCTTTATTCATTGTTATTATCATCAACATTAACATTATTATTGCAGATATATATTAATTACTTTGACTGTGAAGAAAAGACGTAGCGCTGTTGCCTCCTCTGCCTGTCTCACACCACTCCAGCAGAGGGCGCTCTTTAGTCAGATGTGAGGGTGACTGTCTCTCTCTGCGGACTGAGGAGAATTTACCAAAACTTGACAGAGAAGTTTGTTAAAGCAGTTGGATGTACAGCTCTGCGCTATCACTGAACGTTTCCTGCATGAGCAAAGGCTGTGATGTAAAAGAGAAAGTATGTAAAGTATGTAAAGTTTAATTATATGGCACATTTTACAGAGTCACCCAAAGCCCTTTACAAAAGTTACAAAGTTCAGATGTGTTTCCATTCTCTCCACACAGACGCGACTCCATCCATTCACTCCCTCATCACAATCACACCTGTTGTACCTGTTTTTGGTGGTAGGGGAAACCGGAGCACCTGGAGGAAACCTGCACAGACACTGGTAGAGCATATGAACTCCACACAGAGAGGCCTAAAGATGGAACCACAAGTTTTAACCGCGGCGCCACTGTGCCCGGGTGCACATGCCATATTTGTTTTTGTTTTTTTTATGAAATGGCAACAACTCCTAACTTTTTATTTGTATTTTTTGATTGACAGAACGAGAAGTTGATCCGGGTTTGAGGCTGTTACGATTTACAATGTGGAAAAAGTGAAGGGGGTTGAATACTTTCAGGCCGCACTACATTAGCAAGAAGCTCCTGGGGTCGATTCTACCTCCAGACAGGGGCTTTTCTGTGTGGAGTTTGCATGTTCTCCCCGTGTCCGCGTTGGTTTCCTCCAGGTGCTCCGGTTTCCCCTACCACCAAAAACATGTAGAATAGGTCTGAATGTGAGTTTGGGGTTTAAAACAAATGTATTTAAGCTAGTTTTTCATCTGTAGTCCCTCCACTGACGAATATATACAGTACATACAGACACAAGTAAGTAAGCAGTAAGTAATGTTTATCTATGTAGCGCATTTTTACAGACTAAGATCACCCAAAAGGCTTTACAAGGACAATTTGAAGAGTCTAGTAGAGAAAAATAACTCAGAAATTGCTAAAATTAGGCTAAAAGTATCTTAATTTGAGCACATTCTGACTGAATTAAACCCAGATTTTCCAACGGGACAAAGTAAAATGATCCTGTTTAAAAAGTTACAATTATGTCTCCCTTGGAATCAGAAAGTAAAGCAACAGTTCTGTAAATCAGACTAAATGGTTTTGTTCCATTGGAGAATCTTGTTTAAACAGAGTCAGAATGTGTCAGATAAAGATGAAAACCACTCGATTCAAGCAATTTTTTACAATTATTATCACATTTTATCATTTTTCGCAGTGAGTGCTGTTACTCAGGGACGTCAGAGGCTTCGATCCACCAGTGCAGGGCTCTCCAACCTCTGGCTAGGGAGCTATCAGTAGCTCCCTTTCAGAAAGAATTAGACCCATGATCCTGAATCATTCACTTTTGATTCTTTACATGTGGGCGGCACGGTGGCTGAGTGGATAGCACTCTCGCCTCTCAGCAAGAAGGTCCTGGGTTTGAATCCCGGTCGGACCAGGGCCTTTCTGAGTGGAGTTTGCATGTTCTCCTCGTGTCTGCGTAGGTTTCCTCCGGGTACTCCGGTTTCCCCTACCACTAAAAATATGTCCAATAGGCATGTCTGGCATGCGCCTCCTGTACTGGCGACCCCGCTCCCATCTCTGTGTGGAGTGAGAGACAAATGCCCATAATTAACAATTGTAAACCGCTTTGAGACTCAGATCTGCAGTGAAAAGGCGGTATATAAATAAAGATTACTTACTTACTTACTACATGTCTATTTCTAACTAAAAAAAATTTCAGTCGTGAAGGGAGACTGCAGTACAATGTGACGCAGTTATTATGGGCCTTCATCCCCACCGCTGTCAGACTGTACAATAAGTCACTTTAAGTCACTTGCTGCTACTGCCACTGTCTTTTTAATTGCCATTTTTTATTGTAGATAATTATATCCTGCACAGACTGTATTTTTAACCTTTGGCATGTTTCACACTTCCGTCTTTTGCACAATCTGAGTGATTCTATCTGTGCCAAAGTAAAATATGAACCACTCCTTCATCACATTCACGCCTATCGTAACCTCAGTTGTAGCTTTCAACAGTCGGATGTACAGTAGGTCACATTCATTGATATGCTAATAAACATACCATTTCTTAACATTATAAAAGTAGCTCTCTTACTAACAAAGGTTGGAGGCCCCTGCACCAGTGTCTGCTTCTGTCACGGCTGTCTGTGTTTGTGGAGAAGAAGAAAAACTGTAAAGCGCTTAGTTTGACCTAAATAATGAAAAGATTACTTGGACTGACCGTGTGCTCCTGTGAGTGTCATTTAAATTCTGAACATATGGATTTGGTCACCGTGGCTTTGAGATTAGTGAAATACTGCAGTTTGAGGAGCTTAGATCAGAAGAGTGACTGGGAGATAACTCAGGTTTGTTTTTCATTAGAAACCAGTGGATATAATTTAAAGTCAATATACAGTCATAATAATAACAATAATGAGATATCAAACTTGTAAAGCGCTTTTTTGGACACTCAAAGATGCGTCACATGGGAAAAGAACACAATCAAATAAAAAATATCATAACTCGACACGTCATTGGTCGGGTCCAAACAGGAAGTGACATAAAAAACATTGAAGAACACATCACACAGACAGAAAGAGTAGAGACAAAATCCTGTTTAAAGTTGGCTCGAGTCGTCTTTACTGTGGGATCAAAGCTTGTCCCACTCCCACATGACACACGTGAGGTTCAAAATTAAGATTACGACTTGATTAATTTGCTCCTGAAGGGAAATGTCAGTGTTGCATCAGCGGTTACAGAACAGTAGGAATGAGGAGCACACAGCAAGAGACGAATGAATAATATCAATAATACAATACCATAATATCGCTGGCTTTAGCACAACAAGGAAGCAAGTATGATATCTCTAACTTTAGCATGACGGAGAGAAAAGTCTAACATCTCTAACTTTAGCATGACGAAGAGAAAAGTCTAACATCTCTAACTTTAGCATGACGAAGAGAATAAAGAAGTAGAAGAAGAATTAAATATAAAATCTAAAGTTGTTTTTTTATTGTAAAGAAACATTTCTATTTTGAGCCAGTGACCTCCATTCAACTGTGTGTTTGTTGTGCCTTTTGTCCCCCTCGGCTTTGGAGACGATCTGTGGCCCGAGGAGCAAAGCATTGTGGGATATGTGATGGCTGAGCAGCTGTGGGGGTTAGGGGGCATCTTGGGGGGGGGGGGGGGGGGGGGGGGGGGGGTCAAAAGTTCTGTAGTTGCCCGGGGAACGAGGAGATGCTGGGATCAGGGGGAGGAGCCTGACCCTGCCATTATATGGTCAAAGGAACTTTTTCTACACTGTCAGACTGTAGTAAGAGTTCTGCTACACTGTCAGACTGTTGTAAGAGTACTGTTACACTGTCAGACTGTAGTAAGAGTACTGTGCCACTGTCAGACTGTAGTAAGAGTACTGTGCCACTGTCAGACTGTAGTAAGAGTACTGTGCCACTGTCAGACTGTAGTAAGAGTACTGCTAAACTGTCAGACTGTAGTAAGAGTACTGCTACACTGTCAGACTGTTGTAAGAGTACTGTTACACTGTCAGACTGTAGTAAGAGTACTGCTACACTGTCAGACTGTAGTAAGAGTACTGTGCCACTGTCAGACTGTAGTAAGAGTACTGCTACACAGTCAGACTGTAGTAAGAGTACTGCTACACTGTCAGACTGTAGTAAGAGTACTGCTACACTGTTAGACTGTAGAAAGAGTACTGTTATACTGTCAGACTGTAGTAAGAGTACTGTTACACTGTCGGACTGTAGTAAGAGTACTGTTGCACTGTCAGACTGTAGTAAGAGTACTGCTAAACTGTCAGACTGTAGTAAGAGTACTGTTACACTGTCAGACTGTAGTAAGAGTACTGTTGCACTGTCAGACTGTAGTAAGAGTACTGCTACACTGTCAGACTGTAGTAAGAGTACTGTTACACTGTCAGACTGTAGTAAGAGTACTGCTACACTGTCAGACTGTAGTAAGAGTACTGTTGCACTGTCAGACTGTAGTAAGAGTACTGTTACACTCTCAGACTGTAGTAAGAGTACTGTTACACTGTCAGACTGTAGTAAGAGTACTGCTACACTGTCAGACTGTAGTAAGAGTACTGCTACACTGTCAGACTGTAGTAAGAGTACTGTTGCACTGTCAGACTGTAGTAAGAGTACTGCTACACTGTCAGACTGTAGTAAGAGTACTGCTACACTGTCAGACTGTAGTAAGAGTACTGTTACACTGTCAGACTGTAGTAAGAGTACTGCTACACTGTCAGACTGTAGTAAGCACAGCTTTTGGCGCCCGACCAGTAGGGGGCAGTGGAACTTTACAACACAACACATGCAACCCCCAGCAGTAGAACCACTTCCTCGACAAAATCCTCCTCAGGCCGCTGCAAAGATGGCATTTAACAGCAGCAGTGAAAATGGAAACTGAAACTACAGCTGTGGTTTGGTTTGGTTTGGTTTGGTTTGGTTTGGACGAAGGAGTAGAATTCTCCTCCGTTAGTGAAGCAAGCGTAGCATTAATCGATTCAGCACATGTGTAAATCTACGAGTTTTCACCAGTGTGGGCGAGTCCCGGCTCCAAAAGGTCCATGAGCATGTGCGCTGACATGCAGCAATCTCACTCCGGTGGGGGTGTACCCGGAAAGAGAATTACCCATTCCTTTTGTTTGGTGTCTTCTTTCCTCTCAAAAAGCATCTATACAGGATGGTCCAAAAGTCGCTCTTGGTCCAACTCTACATTCCAGATGTTTTCGATGCTGAAGGGAATTTATTTTTGGACCAGTCTGGTTTAGCCGCTGTGGACTTCAAAAAATGAGGCTCATGCCAGCTACGCTTTTTTCACATTCTCCTGCCCCTGCGACCATTTTGAAAATGCCCACAGAAGGCAAACGTGGTGACACATGAGTTTCAGCGGTGGAGATAGGCGTGACTACGTCTGTTAATATTTACAGTCTATGGTTTTCAGCTGAAACACTGTCTTCATGAAAACACAAGGCCAATCCGATACCCAACTCAAAAGTTTTACTGTCGCAGTGTCCGCGTGTAAACTCTGTCACAAATACAACATCTAAATATGATCATAACTTCATGATATAAAACGGAAAACTATGGGAAAATGAAAGTAAACTTGACACCAGGAAGAGCTTCTTGAAGAGGCTGGACTTGTGTGCGCATAAGCATGGAGTCACTGTGTTTCAGGCCCTCGTTACCTCTTGTCCCCCTTCTCATCCACTTCTCCCCCCTCCCCCTCTTCCCCTTCCTCCCCCTCCTCCCCCTCCTCCCAGGGGTATAAAAGGCCCCTGCAGCAGAGGAGTGGGACAGCAGCAGCAGCAGAGGAGCAGACATGGACTCAGAGTTTCTCTCCCCGTTTGTGGAGCTGGAGGACGACTTCTGCACGGTGAGACCTCTTCTCTTTGGACACGGTTCTTACTCAAATGTTGCTTTCTCTAAAATACTCAGACTCAGTGTATCTCACTGTCCAAACTTTTACAAACTTTTTCAATGACTTATGTTTTATTTATTGATGCTTACTCATACTTACTATCTTTATTCATCATGATGTATAGTCTTCACTTTTAGTGACCTAACCTGACGACTTCTTAACACTTACGACTGTATGACTGATGTATCCAAGTATTATGACTCACTGTAACTTAGTACTCTACTCACTTCATCTTGACTGTGGTGCTCACTTCCTCCTGTCTCTGTTTGTGTGACAGAGTCGGGGCCTGGACTCTGTGGCCCCTCAGTTCAAACCCTCCGGACTCCAGCGCAGACACTCCCATTGCCCCGTCACTTTTCCAAACTCCAAGAAGAACAGCAGCGAGGCCCCGGGGCCCTGGGGGCTCCTGCTGGAGGAGCAGCAGTGGGGACGAGAGCTGGCCCGCTCGGCCCTCAGTCACATCCCCTTCAGAATGGACCGCTCCGTCAGTATGATCGAGGGGCCCTCACTGCCTCCACCGCCCGGCCTGGAAGCACTGCCGCCCAGGAGCCTGGCCCCCGAGCTGCTGTCCCCTGAGCTGCTGTCCCCTGAGCTGTTGTGTGGCCTGCCCACGTCCCCTCTTCTGTCCCCTCGCTACAAGACAGAGCTGTGCCGCACCTTCCAGGAGTGTGGAGCCTGTAAGTACGGGGCCAAGTGTCAGTTTGCACACGGCCCTGAGCAGCTGCGGGGCCTCCGCAGACACCCCAAGTACAAGACGGAGCCATGCCGCACCTTCCACACCATCGGCTTCTGTCCCTATGGGGCCCGCTGCCACTTCATCCACAATGCAGATGAGATGTGCTCCGGCGGCCGCAGCTCAGGGACCCCTCAGCTGCGCCACAGCATCAGTTTCTCTGGTGTGTCCTCAGGGGCCGGCCCTCTGCTCAACAGGGCCTGCTCCATGTCCCCTCAGTCCCTCATGAGCTCCCCAGACTCTCTGTACATGTCCCCTCTGCTGCCGGAGCCCGGGGCCCTCAAACACTTCTGTGGGCCTCTGTCCGCTCTGCTGGACTCTGTGGACGACCAGGACCTGGCCCTGCACTTTTCTGCTGTGACAGAGCAGGGACCTGGGCCCAAAGGAGCCACGGGGCCCCCGGGGGCCTCACTGTGGCGCTCCTCCTCTCAGAACTCTGTCAGTGACTGTGTGAGTGAAGAAGGCTACGGCTCCTGTGGCTCCCAGTCCCCAGAGTCCACAGAGACCAGTGACCCCCAACGCCTGCCCATCTTCAGCCACATGTCCCCGAGCGACGAGAGCCCCGAGCCGGACTTCAGCAGGACTAGACCAGGACTAAACCAGGACCTAAACAGGAATGGACCTGGACTCCATCAGGGCTAAAGCAGGACCTAACCAGGACTGGACCAGGACTGAAGCTGGACCGGACCAGGATTGAAACGGACAGATGTGTTTCCTGTTGTGTGTTTGTTTAAGATACACCTGTCAATCATGGCCTTCTCAACTTGGAGAAAACCCAGACCAAACAGGACTGAGCCCAGACCAAACAGGACTGAACCCAGACCAAACAGGACTGAACCCAGACCAAACAGGACTGAACCCAGACCCAACAGGACTGAACCCAACCCCGACCAGGACTAGTCTAGGTGCAGGCTGCATGTATGTGGTCATATGTTAAGACCATAGACTGATGTTGTGCATATTGCATTGTAGCGGAGCGGCCCAATTAATGGCCCAGTTATGTCCCAGTTCTGGCCTGCTTGTGGCCCAGTTATGTCCCAGTTCTGGCCCGCTTGTGGCCCAAATATGTCCCAGTTCTGGCCTGCTTGTGGCCCAGTTATGTCCCAGTTCTGGCCTGCTTGTGGCCCAGTTATGTCCCAGTTCTGGCCCGCTTGTGGCCCAGTTATGTCCCAGTTCTGGCCCGCTTGTGGCCGCTCCTGTGCCCTCTGTATACTGTTGTATACACCTCCAGCTCTCGTGCTTTTGTAATGTTTTACACATGAAGGACTTAAATCTGTAGCGTAGAGTTGTTCACAAAGAGCTTTTCTGATCTAGACTAACACTAAACTTTCAGGGAATTCAGAAGTGACCTTTGTTTATGCAGATTGAAGGATATGAACTAACTTAATATTTTAATATTTATACGTTATATTGCTCTGATAGTTCTGCATTGTTGTTGTTTACATAATTTAAGTGTATTTTCAGTTTTTGTAATTTATTGTTTGATTAAATAAACAAAAGTATTGAATGTATTGATGTGCTTGGGTTTCATGTTGATCTCACTTTTGATGGTCTGAATCTAAATCTGGGCCTAAAACCAGGTCTAAACTGGAGCAGGATCGCGAGAATACACCAGACAGAGAAGGAGACAAACCGTGGTATTTCACCGGGGGTTTCAAAGACCCTAAAGCATAGGCCACATTAGTTCACCAGACTAGTCCTGGGGCCGACATCACGGACTGAAAAACTGTCTTGGCTGGCACCGGAGTGTTCTGAGCTTTGAAATTATCTATAACAGAGCTGAAGTTGGCTGAATGACACATGTTAAACCATCTCACCAGCTACAGTAGCACCATTAACGGAAGTTTGTGACACAATCAAAAACCACGTCGGTAAAGTTTGTACAAATAAAATCAACGACTGAATTCCAGACGTTCTGGGCTTTAGAACAAGGTCTTTATTGGCTGAGCTGAAGTTGGATGGATGACACAGTGAACTTGTGTTTATGATCTCAAAAACTACTTTGGGTTAGCAAGGCAGAGGGCCACATACAATGACACTGAGGGCCTGAGTTTGGACTGGTCTGCCCTAAAGAGCCAGATAGTGACTCACAAGACTCTTTTGTGCAAACATCATTCAAACATGTGATATCCTATTGAGAGGTTTTTGAAAGTCTCTGCTTTAACTGCACGTGTAAAACAAAGGACTTGAGCATGTAGCGACAATTCAATTTTAATTCAACTCAATTCATTTGTATATAGCCCACAGTAGTTGTCTCAGAGCTTTACAAAGCTGTGGATTCGCCAACACAGATCAGAGAATCAAACACATAAATACAACACTAACAAAAACATAGAGCCATTGGTCCATGAGATCATCACCCTGTCCTCAGACCCTCCTGGGAAGTGGGAATGTTCTGATGATTTCTGTGGGAGTGTTGAAGATGAACCTCACAGAGACGGGATCGTGGCGCACCAGAGCTCCTGGAAGTTTGTCCAGTTTCCTCCAGGTTTCAGTTGTTTCAGTTTTTTCAGACAGAACAAAGTCAGGACATGGTTTATATAGTCATTGTTACGTCACAGATACGTCACACACAGAAAGACATACATGTCCCATCCAGAGACAATCAGAACATATCAGAGTCATAACATGGATACACAATGGGACCTTGTGACTGTGAGGGTCTGAAGAAGATGACAAAGTCTGGGATCGCGTCTTTAATTCAGACAGAAGACATGTTTTATTGTCGATGGTAGAGACAGCACAAACAACACGAACAACAGAATGCAAGTGTATTATACAGAGCGGAGGCATGGAGACCTCCAATCAGCAGCTGCCACAGTGCCATGTAGCTTGGCCTTCAGATAGACAAAACAAGGGAAAAGTACTGGCTTCTGCACATTGATAGAATGATGAGTTTAACTTTAACAAAAGTTGCTTAAAAGTGTTATGAAATCTCACAGGTCAGATAATTGTCTTGCGTTTGTCCACCAGCTTTCTATCCACCTTAGGAGCTTGTCTGTGAGTAGAAGCTCTGCCCCCGCTCTCCAGGAGAACTCTGTTATCTGCATCTGTCCTCGGGCTCTGCTCATTTGCGACTGTGGGGAAAAGTCACTTTGCTTTGATAAGTGCCGACCCTCTGCCAGCGCTGTCCAAACTATTCTCCAACCAAAACACCTTTTTATTACAATGTAGAAAAGTGGAGACAGGCACCAGTCCTCAAACTGTCAAAATGTTATTCCAATTCTACACAATACTTTGAAAATCTGTTACACTTTTTATTAGCCCCCAGTAATTAACATCTTTAGTGCTAATTAGTCAACCGTAGCCCTAGCCCTAGTCCAGCCCCTGTCCAGCCCTTGCCCCGGGCGGCACGGTGGCTGAGTGGATAGCACTCTCGCCTCTCAGCAAGAAGGTCCTGGGTTCGAATCCCGGTCGGACCAGGGCCTTTCTGAGTGGAAATTGCATGTTCTCCCCGTGTCTGCGTAGGTTTCCTCCGGGTACTCCGGTTTCCCCTACCACTAAAAATATGTCCAATAGGCATGTCTGGCATGCGCCTCCTGTACTGGCAACCCCGCTCCATCTCTGTGTGGAGTGAGAGACAAATGCCCAAACAAAAATTAACAATTGTAAACCGCTTTGAGACTCAGATCTGCAGAAGGCGGTATATAAATAAAGATTACTTACTTACTACTTACTACTGTCCCTGCCCCAGCCCTAGCCCCAGCTCTAGCCCTATCCCTAACGCTAACCCACATGGGGATAATGTAATTTAGGCCTAATAATTGCTTAATAAATACCATTTATAAGATAATTAATCGTAAATTATACACTTATTTGCACTTCATTTGTTGTTAATTAATGAGGGCTAAACTAAAATGTGAAAAATCAAATGCAAAAACATTCTGGACACATTTCTTGAAAAATACCAGTCTATTTGGTGATTTTCCCTTCTCTCACACTTTCTGCTTCGATTTCTTCTTCTTGTTGAATTTCATTTTGTGTCGAGGCGTGAAAACACAAACTGCACTCAGGATAAACGCAGGACATAATATACTATATATATAATAATGCTTCAGTCATGTGTTGGTTGTACGGACTCGCTCACACCTGTGGGTTTGCGTCTTTTCCTGTGACACAAAATTCTTGCTCCGTCTTCATTTTGTCTGGAAAAACTGAATAAAACGGAAAATGAAATAAAGGCCCACAGGCATTTCTGCTTAAGATCCTGTTTAAGTGTTATTTTCAACACGTCTCTGATCTGTTTTCCATCCAGGTCCAGCTTCAGGTTCCATATCCATCCTTCCAATTCAGTCCAAATTCGGTCCAGGTCACGAGGACAATAGACACTTCTGATTTGTGCAGCTGCATGAGCCAGTCCAGATGCTAGTCCAGATACATGATTACTCTCTGGATGTGTACTGTAAATATTTGCTGCAGCAGAAACAACAGCAGCGTTCACCTGATCGACTGAGGATACGTTTACTTCAAACTTATCGAACCAAAACATCGAGTTCTGACTTGGGCAGACAGCTCAGTTTTAACATAACTGCATAAAAAGTGGAATCTGACCTGCATGACTTGGACTTTGGACAAATATGAATAATATATAATAAAAGAATTAGATTAAAAATAATGTAATGCTGTGGAGAACTTGGTTAGATCTGTATTTCCTGGACTGAGCTTTATTATGTTAGGATTTAGCAGACAGAGACGGATCGTGGTGTGCCAAACTCTGGAAGTTTATTTAAGTTTCTCTCAAGTTCCACTAGTTTACTCTGTTTCTTTCCCTCAGACAGAATAAAGGCAGTACATAGTTTATATAGTCATTGTCACGTCACACATCGAAAGACATACGTGTCACAAAGAGACAGTCACATCATAGTCATAACATGGAGTCCTTGTAGAGTCCTTGTACAGTCCTGCACGTAGGACATATTGCTATCTAACACTAATACCCTCCCCTTTGATCACATAATCACATGTGATCACTCAAATCGATCAATCAATAAAGTGGAAAAAGAAAAAAAAAAAATTCCAAAAAAAAACTTCCAAAAATTATTAAAAACAAAGAAAATGTATGCATTAAACTCATAATCATCAAATCAATATCAGTGGATTTTATCCTCTATCCTGGAAAAAATAAACAAACAAAAATAAAGTAAAAATAAACAAACAAAAAAACAAATCAAAAATAAAAACAAACAAAAACTATTGGACACACAAGAACTCAGCAGATTCAGTCAAAACACAGACAAAAACGAGCTGAGTCTCAAATTTGAAGCTAATTTCACTTTTATTACTCTATACTTTTATTCTAATGCTAATTGTTTACACTACACTTCACTTATTTCACTGTATTATTTTCACTTTTTAATCTTAGACTGTGTACTTTACTTTTACTAATCACTATAGTTTAAAACTATTCTAATCTATTTACAAATATGTTTGCATATTTGCTTCTATTGAGCCATATTCTTAAACATACATTTTAATCTAATAAATCTCTCTTTAGTTTTACACTCTCATTATCAGTGGCATATTATCAGTGGGATTTTGCTCCATGTCTATTCTACATTCTCAGGAATAAAACTGTGAACACAGTAAGGCAAATGGTCAACATTTACACTTCTATAGTGGTCAGTGATTTATTACTTTTTATT